AACCTATCATCAGAAGGAAATGATATTTCAATACTACTTGATCTGAAGATCCTGTAGCTTATGATTAATACCTTTAGTTGTTTATCTGTAACTTTAATGGACTCAAGTTCCATTGTCAACTGGAGAGCTGCCTTCATAGATGTACACTGACTTTGCTTCAGCCCAATTTGCATATCTTTATTTGTTGTGGCATCTATAAATTTGTCATGTACCAATGCATCCACCATTTCATATGCAGCATCAAGGTATGATAATTGAGTAAGCATTTCCAAATTTTCAAAACGTTTGGTTAAAGTCACTTTTTTCCTCTGTACCATGCTCTGGAACTTTGTTGTGTCACTCCAAATTTGTTGGATAAGGTAGCTACCAATGCTTGAGAATTGTTACAGATCTCAGCTGGATGGTTGATTAATTTCATTAAAGCTGGCCCTTTTTACTGGGCATCAAGATGAATGGCTTGTTATTGACTATTCCACCTTCTCACTTTGGAAATTATTTCAAACTTAGTCTGATATGCTTCTCATGGTATCTTTCCATCATAGTTTATTGGTTTCTCAAATGGGCCATGTTGTTGGATTTGCCAGCTAAATTCTGAAATTGGATTTGGTGATGACATAGTTGGAGTAATGCAGGAAATACTCGCAGTCACAGATGACACAGTGGTAGTGGTAATAGCTGTAGATCAAATAGGTTCTATTACAGACTTTATAGTAAGTGATGTCTTAGTTGTAATTCTTGGGCAAATGCAGAAAAAGATGTAGCTGGTTTAATCTTTGCATTTATGAATTTATTTTCCAATTGTTTTATTCTGTAATTAATGTTCTCTCCCTCTGCATTGACTTTTCTGTTGTAATCTTTCTGTACTTCAGTTTTATTATAACCTTTCTATGCTTCTTCAGTCTTGTTGTTGTAATCACTCTGTACGTCTTCAATAGCTTCAATGATCTTGTCTTCAATGATATTTTTGTTCTTAGTTCTTTAAATATTACATCTCTTTCTTTTAACACCTCTTTTAAATTCCTGCCTTTTTTCTTGGTCTTCTTTTAATTTTTTGTCTACTACTACTAATTATCAGTCTCTTTCTTCTTGACCTTCTAACTATTTCATCCTCTCCAGCCAAGTTTCAATCTTGCTTTGTGATCAGGTTATCATCTAGTAATTAAGTCAAAGTTCTATTTTATTTTCACCAAATTAATCCCACTTGACACCATTGTTGTATTTTATCTTTCTGTGTGTTTTATTGGATTATTTGGTAAAAATAGTGCAAAGTCCAGTCCCAATAACAATAATGAATTTGTTTACATCTTCAACATTTGTTTTACAGCCTACTTTCACTTGAAGGCCTAACTTCACAAACAATATTCAAACATAGACTCTGAGACTAATGATACGCCTAATTTCCAAATAAACTCGCTTGTTAAATGTTAAAATTTCTCTCATAAATCAAATAATAAACATGCTAACTATTCATTGTTTAGCCTATAGACTGAATTACAGAACTGAATAACTCACTGACTGGCAATGAATTAAAACATTTACTGAATACTTCTCTAATTCAATGACTTGTATATATACTGTACCCTTGTCTCTAGATACTGCACTAAACTTTTAGATTCCTAACTTTCATGAAATTTCTAGGTGACATCATGACACTCCCTCTAGCAACAAACATCTAAATGAAAATATTAAATATATAGTTTACAGCAATACCTATGTTACTCTGGTATTGAGTAATCTAAAAAAAAAAGCTAAAGACCAGTAGAGCTTTGTTCTTTTCACAGATGAGTCATAATTTTACCTCCATTTTGATTCCCAGCAATATTATGTTTGGAAAAAAGTTCAGTAATGTCTATTCACCAGCCTTTGTTACTGAAAGAAATAAAAATGTAGTAGTGGAGTAATGGTGTAGGCAGGAGTAAATATAAATGGCTGCACAATCTGAACTTATTAAGAGCTAGCATAACTGGTCAGATAACATTATACTACCCATTGTTTGACAATATGGAGAGGTTGTTGACCATAAATTTGTATTGATGGACAATAATACTTACTCCCATAATGCCAGGTTAGTCAAAGGCTTCTTGGAGGATGAAGGTACCAAACATATAAATTAGAAAGCCAGTTTACCAGACCTCACTACCATAAAATATGTATGAAGGTGTTACAGACTAACACCAACTGACCATTCCACATATTACTGGTGCCCTTAAGAAGGAATGGCTACATATCCTACAGCAATGGATCAACACATAAATTGAAAACATGTCTCACTACTATCAGATGTGCATTGCCATTTATAACTACCACATTCCCTCCTACTCACACTTAGGGTTATAGTGTAAATGTCTTCTTTTGTTCTGATTTTGTACATTTAGGCCAACATAAAAACATTTATACATTAGACACTTAGCTTGTATTTTATTTACACTGATGTCTAGTATGTTATGATTACAATAGTTAATACCTCTTGAGAAGTAGGGTTGTTTTGGCTCTCAAAACTAATGTGACCCTTAACTTTCTTTTAGGGATGGATGGATGTGAATACACATGCCATCACCAATTAAGCGTTCTGTCCTTAGACAGGCCTGTGGCACAATTCTTTCCTCCATTTAGCTCTGTCTTCAGGTGCTCTCTTCATTTGTCCACATGTTCTTCCTCACTGGATATCATCCAGCATCATCGTCCTTTCTTTTGATCTAATTCCAAGGAATCTTCCCTTGATCACCTTCTTCATCAGGCCATTCCCTTTCAACATCATGACTGATTGAAAAAGTCCACATTAATCTCCCACCTAACATAGAACCACTTTATTTGTCTTTATTTCAGTCCAACTTATTTTCATGACAATTTAACAAATCCAAATTTCAAAACCTTCCAATCTCATTATGTCATCCTTATGCATTGTCCACATCTTGTATGCTTATGTTGCTACTGCTACACGACAGACATAAATCTTAATTATTCTGTTCTTGTGTTTCTTCTCAGTTTAGTTAGTAGCTCCTTTTTCTTTCTGGAAGCTTCTTTAGCCATTCCAATTCTGATTTCTTTAGAACACCAACCATCTAATGATTAACTATTTCAGCATGGGCTCGGTCCCTGGGACTGACCTTGTAACCATTTCGTGCTTGTTATAGTTTATGCTATAACTTTTAAATTAGTAAGCAAATGTTAACGAAATTTAGCAGATTATCAGTAAACATTACAATGCTTTTATATGCAAGATATTAAATTTTTTTTAGTAAGTCTTAAGGTTTGTAAAGCAATGTTTTTCTCATGTCTTTTTTTTCTTTTTGCATGTTGCCTATCAATCATACAAATTAATATTCATTTTAAGATTAAAAATACTTT